CCCACATTTTAAATGTAAGATATTAAGAATTAGTGCTCAATTACTTCTAATGTTTTTATATAGAAAAAAACCTGTGGCCAGACTATACAATGCATTGATAAAATATTATCTAAAAGTTAGTTTTTGTTGACAGTTTTGAAAATGTCTCGTATTAGTTTTCTCATCAACCGTCTCGAGGGATCGAGTATATAAAAATAGATTTAAACAATTACGTTTTATTTCCCGATTGTGACCTGAAAGGTCAAATCCATAATCCAAATCTTAAGTGTGTTTTTTTGCAGTTTTAACGGATGACGTCAAGTGCTATTGAATCAGCATATCTGTTCATTTATTCATTGTCATGGTACTGCAAACCAGGATTCAAGTATCAAGGATGTTTGGCTTGTGGCGGGATTATGTTCCTAGGCGAGACAAGGGGGCGTGTTTGCGTCCCGTCACGAACTCCACAGGGAACATACACTTGCCGCAATCGTGTTAATGGACTTTTATAACAGCTAAATGACAGAGTATAACTCGGTCCCAAACAGCAGGTTCCGTATTCCACAGAAAACCCTTCCCATTGAAGATGTAAGTAGGCATGTCCAATGTAAGCACATTCTTGTATTGTTAGTTTTCTTGAAGAATTCACCCAGTTTACCCTACCTTGAAAATGATTTTAGGTTATAAAAATAAGCCCATTATTAATTGTATGGTTATTTTACTTGGAGAAACACTTGTCCTGAGCCAGTTCTCCGGGACAACGCATCACTGAAAGCATCCTGTTACCCCCTGACTATGAAGACGGATCTCCGGAACACATCACCGCCCAAACTACATGACTCTATCTCGCACCCACAAAGCACTACCGCACCCACCCCCCCCCCCCCCCCCCCCCCCCCACACACACACACACCACCACACACACACACACACCTCAACCCTCACCACCCGCTCCCGTTCCACAGCACCACCCGGCACCCATACAGTTCCACCCCACACTGATACAGCCCCACCCTACACCCACACAGCCCCACAACCCACCCACCCACACGCACGCACATGTGCAAGCACGTCGTTATATTCGTTCAGTAATCTTGAACGCGACGTTAAACCTCGTTTCAACCTCACCACATCTGTCAAAATACACTTTCAACAATTTTATTCAATAGATAGAATACAAGGGCACTTTGTCTTTTTCTCGTAAAATAACATTGAGTGACCTGACAGGAGTGAGATAAACATGTTATTTGACAAAAAGACAACTATTTTATTTATTTTATTGTTTCCATATTTGCTCGATCAGTTCGGACAGGTGCAAGCAGTCATACACACATACAACACGTGCATGGACGTCGCTATATTAAGGCAAGACGACGTTAAGCCCTATTTCACCTCATCTAGCTTCCCCAGTATATATATATCTTGTATCAGTTTTTTGTCGGAGGCTGATCCACGATTACTAGCCTGGTATGGTATGACGGTGACACAGATGGTACACAATCAGGACATTTGTTGTATTCGAAGGTACAGTCGTGGGACCCTGGCACGACGAAAAAGACGCAAAAGTAGACGACTGCATGGTGAGGTGCAAGTTAAAAGAATACTCGAAGTATTCATTCATTCACGAGTGAGTGACTAGCGAGATAAAAGTTATAAGTTTGGTCAAAGTATTCATTCATGCACACACGCTAATGCACACATATATGCTTTGTAAGAGACAGATATAAATAGTAGGACGCATATGTGATTAACAGGTTTGGTGGGATTTACATTTCCTCAGTATATGAGCGCACATTTCCAAGGACTTTCTGTACATTCCGACTTCCATGTGCTGACGAGGTTACACATATCAGGCATACTTGGATTGTAGTATCAGAAGGGTGTTGTTGCTTAATACCTGTCAGTTATGGCTTAACAAGAGCCTTAAGTGAGGTTATGCATGCTTTTAAAAAAGTTGCCTTTCCCAGGAAGAACTGTGATCTGTTTCACGGAAAATATTTGTAACCAATTCTATGATTAAAAATCCTACGTGAAGAAATAACATGCCATGGATTATATGAGGAAAGTGATAAAAAAACGTGGAATTAAAACAAAATCAGCACCCCTGAGTCAATTTCACAAAAATATTCTTTCAAGTAACTAGAACACTAAATGCAGACTCGTCATTTCAAAACTGTTTCCTGCATGACTTACTTTCAAGATATGTATAGAACGACGTATATAGCCCAATCATAAAGCGATAAAACGTTAAAACGGGGTAAAACATTGTGCAATTAATATTCAGACATTACGTGACACCTCAGCAAATAAACACTCGGCCTAGGCGTACTGACTCCTGAAAGACTCGAGAGTTTTAAGATAGCGTTTGTCAACCCAAATAAATAAAAACGACCCATTCACTTACAAAGGAAGGGGGTGGGGGACGTGGGTCGTGGGTCGTGGGTCGTAATATACCGTATTTCCTCTTTTAGACACCAGGGAGTTTATTTTCAGCAAGCCGTTGTCTATAAGTGGCCCGACGTCTACATTCTGTTTAATGATGGCAACAGTGGCAACTCACAGTCTTACAAAATCCCAAATTCTACATACATACCATGGACGTGTATAATTGGTTGGTTGGTTGTTTTACGTTGCACTCAGCAATATTCCAGCTATATGACGGCGGTCTGTAAATAATCGAGTCTGGACCAGACAATCCAGTGATTCATATCATGAGCATCGATCCACGCCATTGGGATCGATGACACGCTTCAACCAAGTCAGCGAGCCTGACCACCCGATCCCGTTAGTCGCCTTTTTACGGCAGCATGGGTTGCTGAAGACCTATTCTACCCCGGAATCTTCACAGGTCTGTACGGGAAGTAGTTTAGAGCTAACAAGTGTGCAACTTGCATTGACACTACATCTAAACTGTACGGGAAGTAGTTTAGATGTAGTGTCAATGCAAGTTGCACACTTGTTAGCTCATTTTCTGATAAGATTAAAAAGTAGCCGCCTCTGACTGCAAGCATAGTCGCCTTTAACGGCAAGCATGGTATGCTGAAGACATATAAAGTGTCCCTGGTCATGTAAAGGGTACTTTTGCATTATTATTTCATTAATAATCACCAACATTTTACAGTATTTGGACAAAACGTATGACCCTGCATCAATCCGAGGCCGGCGAGTATTGGAAATCAGACGTCTAATAGAGGAAATCCGGTAAATATACAGAGTCGCACACACACAGAAGCTTAACATATTTTTTTCATTATATTCCATTCACTCTCTTACAATGTAGGATACTCGTTCTTGACCTGAATATGTCACGTTTATGGTGACCTTGGCAGGGCTGATCCAAGTAGGATCCGGAGTGGGCGGTGGGTGGGGCAGGGGCGTTGGGGCACCTTGGCACCTGACGTTTCAAGTCGTGACATCGTACTGTATATGTTGTTGAGCTACAATATTTGGACCACTCTTAATGGAGTTCCGCTACAATGAGCTCTCGTGACAAGTTCTTGGGAACGTATCAGTAATCACTTATATACAACAGCGTCAAAGTATTAGATGTCAGTACTCGAGTACCCAATAAGGGGACGTAACTCAAACAATATTTTTCCTGCATTGCCTTGTCAACACGACAGGGGCAGACGTGTCGTATAAGGCAGTGCCTAAAAGTCTGGCCGGGCCGTATAATGTATTTATGCTGGGGAATTTACAAAAGTCATGCTGACACTGAAGCTGTAACCAGGGAGTCTATATAGTCTTTGTGTGGTATCGCTGCTGTTACTTTAGAGGGAGGGCGGGCGGTCGGGTAGCCTAGTGGTTAAAGCGTTCGCTCGTCACGCCGAAGACCCGGGTTCGATTCCCGACATGGGTATAATGTGTGAAGCCCATTTCTGGTGTCCCCCGCCGTGATATTGCTGGAATATTGCTAAAGGCGGCGTAAAACCATACTCACTCACTCACTCACTGTTACTTTAGGTTTCCTTTGTTAAATACGATCAGATAATCTGATGACAATCGATCGATAATTTTCGATCGCTCCATGAGAGATGCTGCTCCAGTGTCATTCTCATCTATGTTTTGCTTCTGCTTTTTTAACTCCCAGATAACCCCTTAAGAATTCAGGAGTCGGCCCAAGCATAGCCGCCTTTGACGGCAAGCATGGGTTGCTGAAGACCTATTCTAACCCGGATATTCACGGGTCTACGAATATGAGGAATCGAACTTAGTGCGCGAACGCTTTAACCACTAGCCTACACCACTTCCCCTACTCATCTGAAGTATATGGCGGTGATAGTTCCCCAAAAGCTTTTGAAATCGCATCACGTGATGCAAAAATTGGACAAAGTAAATAAAATTGAGACAAAGTAAACATTGTAACCACCCGTCTTTTTTAGCGTTCACCTATGTCATGGTATGATGTGCACTAAATTGCACTATCGGTACGATGTAGTTTACAATTACAGTAAACTACGGTTATAACGACACGCTTATAACGAACTGACGGATATAACGAACTTACGTTTTGGTCCCGACTACTTGCTGTAGTCATGCTGTATATGTACTTATAACGAACTACGGTTATAACGAACTAAAATTAGTAGTCCCTTTCAGTTCGTTAGAACCGTAGTTTACTGTATAATGATTTATTTATGTATTCATCGGCAAATTTAATGATGATAATAATCCCTGGACATAAGATTCACATGTTGTGGCATAATAAACTTGCAGCGTAATTACACAGGAACAGATTCCGGGATAGAATAGGTCTTCAGCAACCCATACTTGCCGTAAAAGGTCACTATGCTTGTCGTAAAAGACGACTTACGGGATCGGGTGGTCAGGCTCGCTGACTTGGCTGATGCATGTCATCGATCCCAATGGCGTGGATCGATGATCATGATATGAATCACTGGATTGTCTGGGCCAGACTCGATTATTTACAGACCGCCGTCATATAGCTGGAATATTGCTGAGTGCGGCGTTAAACAACCAACCAACCAACCAATACACAGGAACATGTTCCAGACACGACTAACACTCTCCCAAATACAACCCTCGGTTTTCACGTGCTGCACGCGCACGTTTTGTTTTGCACTCACACGTCAATCAAACGCAGACGACAACAGTGAGCTTCTCATGAGCAGACATGAAAACAAACTGCTATTTTTATTTCATAGAGGGAGATGTTTTCTTGTGGATTGAAGTTACAGTGTTTGAACTTTCACCAGCAGCTCGAGTTTCATTTTGATTGGATATATTTTTGTGCGACTTCATCATTTTGGACTGAGAATGATGGAACCTGGCCTATTGGCAACTTTTTTATGAAACTGTGAACAAATGTTCTTATCTGTCTGTGGAAAACGTTTCAGCAGATTTGTTACAACACGTCGAGAGGGAATCAAAACGATAGAAGTTATCGCTGAACAGCAGGTGCCCCATTCGCACCGATTTACAACTCCCCATTCCATCTGTGTCAACAAACTGCCATTTAAATTTCATTGGAGAAGATGTTTTCTTGTGGATTGAAGATACAGTGTTTGAACTTTCACCAGGAGATATTTCCATTTGGATTGGATATAATTTTGTACGACAACGTCATCGTGGACTATGACATGATGGAGACTGACTGGGTAATTGGCATCGGCGGAGAAAGGTAGGAAGTCACATTATTTTATAGTTTTTTTTACTAAATGCCATTTGACATGATGGGCTACCTACCGTCTATGTGTAGGTTAGAGCACGAGGACCTGGTGTTTAATCTTTGAAATGATTAGTTAGAATTCTCTAACCTATTTATAGTCCTTTTGCTGCAAAATCGTCTATGAATCCGAAAACAACAATTCGACTAAAATGGCTTAAAATTTATTTATTTATTTGTCCATACCAACTGGTCACCATAACTTCAGACGTTGTCACGAAGGAGAGAAAACGATGTTTAACAGACTATCATGTAATTGTTTCAATGCCTTTTGTTACATGCAATAATCATAACGTGAATTACCAAGGTTTTCAAATCACCTGTGAATTTCATCATGCACCGTATTGAAATGATACATTGAGCTCGTTCTGGGTTTTTATTATTTGAAATTAGCTGAATAGCAACACCAAGAACATCACTAATATTATATTGCTTTGATAATATTTTACAGATTTTCATTGTATATTCCGTTTAATAACTGCCACAGAATGATACGCTTCTGATTTAGACTTTTCATTTGACATGAGTTTATTACTACAGAAAAGGCAGAAGTCAGTTCGCCTAACGCGCGAATTTCACATGCAAATGTAGGGCTGTTCAGTTTCGAGTGCAGACCCCCTTGTAACAACATGCAGTAAAACACCAACTACATGAGATTTGGCTGAACTTCTTTCCCCCTACTTCGTGACAATGTCTGAAATTATAGTAAAGAGTTGGTATATACAAATAAACAATTTCATGGCATTTACGACGAATTTCGCATGTGCACCTCCCACTTACCCGAATGGGTTATGAAATGCATGTCCCGGGGCAAGTATACCATTCATATTTATTTATTAATCACCTGAACATTACTTGCCCCATGTTGATGGGCCTATTTTGAGCAAACATACCCCTGATCAAGATAATAGAAATGTTAAGTACCATACTGTACAAACACTGCTTAAAACACATTTCGCAGTTCATTAACGGATAAACAATTGGTCCTGATGTTAGTAAATATTTAGTTAACAATTTCTCAGGTTATTCAGTTTGGAAAAATAGCTAAATTAGGTTCGGGAAGGAAATGACTACAAATGTGCATCGTGTGAGATTTTTGTTTTCCTGTGAATTAGCCACGTGACACCATTTGTCTTTTTTGAAGTTGTATCTGTGCAAGGCGCTTGTGTGGTGGTTTTTAAAAGATTTTCCCGGATAAGTATTTCTCTTCAAATGAAAACGAGCAAAAAAACCCAGATGCGATCATGTGCGCGCTACAGACGATACAGAGCACATTTTGCTCAATACTTTAAATGTCAGTGATAATTACAACATTAGAAGATCGGGGTTAGAATAGGTCTTCAGCAACCCATGCTTGCCGTAAAAGGCGACTATGCTTGTCTTAAGAGGCGACTTACGGGATCGGGTGGTCAGGCTCGCTGACTAACGGGATCGGGTGGTCAGGCTCGCTGACTAACGGGATCGGGTGGTCAGGCTCGCTGACTTGGTTGATGCATGTCATCGTATCCCAATTGCGTAGATAGTTACTCATGATGTCACCCACTGAACTGTCTGGTCCAGACTCGATTAGTTACAGACAGCTGTCAAATAGTTCAAATGTTGCTTGGTGCGGCGTTAAACAGACGATAATTAAATTTCATGTACACTTACTGGTCACCGACAAGTTATCGCCATTTTTGTCGTGAAGCCAGAATACGAAGTTTCTTGAGAAATCGTCGTCGCTATATGGCTGAAATAATGCCGATGCTACGTTATAAGGTTTGAACATTTTCATTCTGTACAGCTTCCCATTGGGTGATATACGCCTAAACGAAACACAACTTAAGCATATCTGCATACACTTGTTGCGTTTTTTCAGGTGCTGTGGCTGCTTGGCTCTCTATTGAAACGTTTGGACAGACGATACCAGTGAACCCGTCACTGCAGAGGCGTCGCCAAACAGCCACGTAAATGTCATTGGAGAAGATGTTTTCTTGTGGATTGAAAATACAGTGTTTGAACTTGAATAGTTTCATTTGGATTGGACATAATTGTTATGGACACATTTTGTGCGATTGCATAATTAAGGACTGATTGATAGAGACAGACCGGACGATTGACATCGGCGGAGAAAGGTAGGAAATTACGTTATTGTTAGTGAATTACAAGATGGCATTTCATACAACGGTGTAGCTTCTATAATACACCATAAAAGCATCACTACAAACAATAAAAGCTTGGGATCAATAGTTCCTTTGGATCCATCCAACCTATGATGCTCCTCATCAAAAAAGGTGGCATGGAACTACAGGAAGTATTGCCAACTTTTTGCGGTCTTAAAAAACACATAGCACTCAGGGCTTAGAACTACAAATTAGTGCTTAAAAACTTGGCCAACTGCCCAACAGCAACAGTCTGACGGTTGTTGTTTTCGTTCAGTTGTCGGTAAAATTTTCATGTTTTGAGATATATCCAATTTTATTATAAACTTACTGCAAGTCATCCCTGGACCATCCCTGGGCCATCGCTGGACGATCCCTGGACATTTGCTGTGGCCGTCATGCATATCACACATTCTTTTCTACCTGGTTATTAAAAACCCGTTTCTGAATAGAGGGGGCGGTGGGGTAGCCTTGTGGTTAAATGGTTCCCTTATCACACCGAAGGCCCGGGTTCTATTGCCCATATGGGTACAATGTGTGAAGCCCATTTCCGGTGTCCCCGCCCTAATTTGCTGGAATATAGCAAAAGGCGGCGAAATTCCTAAGTCACTCACTCTTAGAATATAGCAAGCACTTAGATTATTCTTCAAAACACTTTTGAAAACAGAACTTTGGTTATTTATAGAGACACCTTAGAAAATAGCAAGCACTTATGTTATCCATGAAACCTTAGACTTTTGCAGTATCTGTCATGACTCAAACTATTCGCCAGTTTGAACCTGTCGTCACAGTACAGTGCCTCACGACTTGCTGAACTAGACGCTAATATTAATGTGGCACAGTACAGTGCCTCACGACTTGCTGAACTAGACGCTAATATTAATGTGGCACAGTACAGTGCCTCACGACTTGCTAAACTAAACCCTCATATTAATGTGGTACAGTACAGTGCCTCATGATTTGCTGAACTATTCGCTCAATATCAATGTGGTACAGTACAGTGCCTCGCGACTTGCTGAACTATTCGCTCATATTAATGTGGTACAGTACAGTGCCTCATGATTTGCTGAACTATTCGCTCAATATCAATGTGGTACAGTACAGTGCCTCGCGACTTGGTGAACTATTCGCTCATATTAATGTGGCACAGTACAGTGCCTCACGACTTGACGGGTGATGTAGATTCAGTACAGCTAGGTTATTCTTCAAAACCCCTTAGAATATAGCAAGCACTTAGGTTGTTCTTCAAATACCCTTAGAATATAGCAAGCACTTAGGTTATTCTTCAAAACACTTTAGTATATAGCAAGCGCTTAGTTTCGATACATCTTCACCAGATCATCAACGCAGAAGATAAAGGTGAGTCACATATTTACTTAAAATCTTATTGATGTATTCTTTATTGCAGTTCATATTAGTCCAGTAGCAAATAACCTCAAACTCATTAAAACCGAGAAAAGCTCTCGATAACCCGACTCGGACCTTTTCACGTGCGTGTCAATTAGTCCTCGCCGTTTTGTGATCAATTTAAGGCCGCAAAGCGGAAGAAATTTGCATTGGCGTCGGCCCCTGTCACCCAGGTAAGCTACATTTTTGCGTACATTTATAAAAAAAATTATGAATAATGTTGCAAATATTAAACTCGGAATAAAGATCAAGTAATATCTGTAATGTTGCTTTTATATACGCATTGAATGTGCATGCTACATAAATGAACGTTATGACAGACCCTCTTGAACTTTGGTTGTTTCTTCTTTCTGCAGACATTGCCTGCACATAATCGTACAATGGAGATTAACCTATGAATAGTGGCCAAGCAGTTCACTGAAGGAAGAAAGTCATCTCAGCTTTGAAAGGATCTCAAGTGTGAGTTTTGATACCTCCTCTCAGATTGAAGGAAACCGAAAGCCAGTTAAACAGTTCATGCACATAGGAAGTGTAAAGTTCTGCCTCCCCCCCCCCCCCCCCCCCCCCTCCCTACCCTCCCCACCCCACCCCACCCCACCCCACCCAACCCCACCCCACCCCACCCCACCCCACCCCACCCCACCCCACCCCACCCCACCCCACCCCACCCCACCCCACCCCACCCCAACCAACTCCACCCCCCTTAAAAAAAAAATAAAAAAATATATATATAATATGTAAATGAAATTGTAATTTACTGTTCATTTTCAACAACTAAAGTACAACATGTTAATTACAGCTTTAATTTATTGCAGGCCATGTGTGGGAGAAAGGCAAAGCAAGTGGTAAGGCTTCATGTTTACTTCATGTTATGCTTGGGGTATTAAATCCAATGTGGTGGTTTAAAGGGTTGCCTCAGGGAAATTAAACAGTGTAAAAGTGACAAAACCATTTCCATAATCATAATCCTTTATTGTCGTCATTTCAACTCAATAGGCAGTAGCAAATGTATTATTTTAATTTCAACAACCTAAACCTAAACCGACTGACAAGAACTGCGAGTACCCAGTTCACGCGAGTACCCTTTTCACGCGAGTGCTGATTAATCCATAGCGTGATCATGTAAAACGCTTCCAAGAAGATTTTTGCTCTGGCGTCTACCCTTGTCATCTCGGTAAGCCACAGTTTTGCATGAATTTTATCAATAAATATAAATCATGTAGCAAACAGGTTTAAATGATTCAAATAAATGCAACGACAAATATTTAACTGGGAATAAAGATTAATTGATATCAGTAATAAAGGTTTTGAAAACACATTAAATTTGTAACTTCTGAAAAAGAGAAATCTTCTTTTTTAGATTTTTTCTTCTTTCTACAGACATCACCTTTACAAAAGCGATGCACCTGCCAATCACTTCCATGAGGGATTACAATCATTTCAGCCTTGGAAGTATCACAAATGTGAGTTTCAATACCATATTTATCTTATCACTTGTACTTTACACTTCTTAACATAACTGAATTTGTAATTTACTTTTCATTGCTTACATACGAGGATAAGTACACTTTAGTATGTATGGTATGAATTTATTGCAGGATTTTCGGCTCATGACTTGCTGAACTGTTTGCTCATATTAAAGTGGTACAGTACAGTACAGTACCTCACGACTTGCTGAACGATACGTTCATATTAATGTGGTACAGTTCAGTGCCTCACGACTTGCTGAACTATCCGCTCATATTAATGTGGTACAGTACAGTGCCGCACGGCCTGCTGAACTATACGCTGGGGGCACGGGTGGCCCAGTCGTCTGAGGCGCCGCAGAGTTGCGTCCCTTGGGCATACCAGAAACCTGTGATTGTGGGTTCGAATCCCGGTTGGACCCGATTATTTTTCTAGGTTTGTACGCACCATATCCGTGCTTGTGATTTTTACCACAATAAACGTCTGCGACCTGCATTACTTAGGGCTTTCCTCCACATTAAGATGCCACGCCGTGATATAATTGGAATACTGTTAAAAGCGGCGTTAAACCCAATTCACTCACTCACTGAACTATTCGCTGATATCAATGTGGTACATTTCAGTGCCTCACGCCTTGCTGAACTATTCGCTCTTTATTTTGGTACAGAACAGTGCCTCACGACTTGCTGAACCAGACGGTAATATTAATGTAGAACAGTACGGTGTCTCACAACTTGCTATTATTTCAGTGTGGTACTGTACATTTTGCTGAGCTATTCACTTATGTAAGTGTGGTACAGTCCAGTGCCTCACGTCTTGTGCTATTGCCTCATATTAATGTGGTACAGTACAGTGCCTCACGACTTGCTGAACGATAAGTTCATTTATGTGGTACAGTACAGTGCCTCACGATTTGCTGAACTAAACGCTCTTTTAATGTGGTACAGTACAGTGCCTCACGACTTGCTGAACTAAACGCTCTTTTAATGTGGTACAGTACAGTGCCTCACGACTTGCTGAACTATACGCTGGGGGCAATGGTGGCCCAGTCGTCTGAGGCGCCGCAATTCACTGTGCAGTTGCGTCCCTTGGGCACACCACAAACCTATGATTGTGGGTTCGAATCCCGGTTCGACCCGATTATTTTTCTAGGTTTGTCAGCACCATACCTGTGCTTGTGATTTTTACCACAATAAACCTCTGAGAGGTGCATCACTTCGGGCTTTCCTCCCACATTAAGATGCCACGCCGTGATATAATTGGAATACTGTTAAAAGCGGCGTTAAATCCAATTCACTCACTCACTGAACTATTCGCTGATATCAATGTGCTACAGTACAGTGCCTCACGACCTGCTGAACTATTCGCTGATATCAATGTGGTACAGTACAGTGCCTCACGACTTACTGACCTGTTTGCTCATATTAATTTGGTACAGTTCAGTGCCTCGGGACTTGCTGAACTATTCGCTGATATTAATGTGGTACAGTACAGTGCCTCACGACTTGCTGAACTATACGCTGGGGGCAATGGTGGCCCAGTCGTCTCAGGCGCCGCAATTCGCTGTGCAGTTGCGTCCCTTGGGCACACCACAAACCTATGATTGTGGGTTCGAATCCCGGTTCGACCCGATTATTTTTCTAGGTTTGTCAGCACCATACCTGTGCTTGTGATTTTTACCACAATAAACCTCTGAGAGGTGCATCACTTCGGGCTTTCCTCCCACATTAAGATGCCACGCTGTGATATAATTGGAATACTGTTAAAAGCGGCGTTAAATCCAATTCACTCACTCACTGAACTATTCGCTGATATCAATGTGCTACAGTACAGTGCCTCCCGACCTGCTGAACTATTCGCTGATATCAATGTGGTACAGTACAGTGCCTCACGACTTACTGACCTGTTTGCTCATATTAATTTGGTACAGTTCAGTGCCTCGGGACTTGCTGAACTATTCGCTCATATTAATGTGGTACAGTACAGTGCCTCACGATTTGCTGAACTATTCGCTCAATATCAATGTAGTACAGTACGATGTCTCACGACCTGCTAGCTATTTCAGTGTGGTACTGTACGTTTTGCGGAGCTATTCGCTTATGTAAGTGTGGTACAGTACAGTGCCTCATGACTTGCTGAACGATATGTTCATATTAATGTGGTACAGTACAGTGCCTCACGACTTGCTGAACTATACGCTGGGGGCACGGGTTGCCCAGTCGTCTGAGGCGCCGCAATTCGCTGTGCAGAGTTGCGTCCCTTGGGCACACCACAAACCTGTGATTGTGGGTTCGAATCCCGGTTCGACCCGATTATGTTTCAAGGTTTGTCAGCACCATACCCGTGCTTGTGATTTTTACCACAATAAACCTCTGAGACCTGCATCACTTCGGGTTTTCCTCCCACATTAAGCTGACACGCCGTGATATAATTGGAATACTGTTAAAAGCGGCGTTAAACCCAACTCACTCACTCATTCACTGAACTATTAGCCAATATCAATGTGGTACAGTACAGCGCCTCACGACTTGCTGAACGATATGTTCATTTCTGTGGTACAGTACAGTGCCTCACGACTTGCTGAACTATTCGTTCAATATCAATGTAGTACAGTACAGCTCCTCACGACTTGCTGAACGATATGTTCATATTAATGTGGTACAGCTATTCGCTTATGTGAGGTACAATACAGTGCTTCACGACTTGCAGAACTATTCGCTCATATTAATTTGGTACAGTGCTTCACGACTTGCTGAACGATATGTTCATATCAATGGGGTACAGTACAGTGCTTCACGACTTGCTGAACTATTCGCTGATATCAATGTGGTACAGCACAGTGCCTCACGACTTGCTGAACTATTCGTTCAATATCAATGTGGTACAGTACAGCTCCTCACGACTTGCTGAACGATATGTTCATATTAATGTGGTACAGCTATTCGCTTATGTGAGGTACAATGCAGTGCCTCACGACCTGCTGAACTATTCGCTGATATCAATGTGGTACAGTACAGTGCCTCACGACTTGCTGAACAATTCGCTGATATCAATGTGGTACAGTACAGTGCCTCACGACTTGCTGAACTGTTTGCTCATTATTTTGGTACAGTACATTGCCTCACGACTTGCTGAACAATTCGCTGATATCAATGTGGTACAGTACAGTGCCTCACGACTTGCTGAACTATTCGCTCATATTAATGTGGTACAGTCCAGTGCCTCACGACTTGCTAGCTCTTTTAGTGTGGTACAGTACGTTTTGCTGAGCTATTCGCTTATGTGAGGTACAGTGCAGTGCTTCACGACTTGCAGAACTATTCGCTGATATCAATGTGGTACAGTACAGTGCCTCACGACCTGCTGAACCAGACGGTAATATTAATGTGGTACAGTACAGTACCTCACGACTTGCTAGCTATTTTAGTGTGGTACAGTACGTTTTGCTGAGCTATTCGCTTATATGAGGTACAGTACAGTGCCTCACGACTTGATGAACGATATGTTCATATCAATGTGCTACAGTACAGTGCCTCACGACTTGCTGAACTATTCGCTGATATCAATGTGGTACAGTACAGTGCCTCACGACTTGCTGAACTATATGCTGGGGGCAATGGTGGCCCAGTCGTCTGAGGCGCCGCAATTCGCTGTGCAGTTGCGTCCCTTGGGCACACCAGAAACCTGTGATTGTGGGTTCGAATCCCAGTTCGACCCGATTATGTTTCTAGGTTTGTCTGCACCATACCTGTGCTTGTGATTTTTACCACAATAAACCTCTGAGACCTGCATCACTTCGGGCTTTCCTCCCACATTAAGCTGACACACCGTGATATAATTGGAATACTGTTAAAAGTGGCGTTAAACCCAACTCACTCCCTCACTCACTGAACTATTAGCCAATATCAATGTGGTACAGTACAGTGCCTCATGACTTGTGCTATTGCCTCATATTAATGTGGTACAGTACAGTGCCTCACGACTTGCTGAACGATATGTTCATTTCTGTGGTACAGTACAGTGCCTCACGACTTGCTGATATATTCGTTCAATATCAATGTAGTACAGTACAGCGCCCCACGACTTGCTGAACGATATGTTCATATTATTGTGGTACAGCTATTCGCTTATGTGAGGTACAGTACAGTGCTTCACGACTTGCTGAACTAAACGCTCATATCAATGTGGTACAGTACAGCGCCTCACGACTTGCTGAACGATATGTTCATTTCTGTGGTACAGTACAGTGCCTCACGACTTGCTGAACTATTCGTTCAATATCAATGTAGTACAGTACAGCTCCTCACGACTTGCTGAACGATATGTTCATATTAATGTGGTACAGCTATTCGCTTATGTGAGGTAC